GTGTATTAACCCACAGCGCCACACCAGAACTCCATCTTAGTTACATTTTATTATTAATGTTATGATTAATTATTAGCAGAAAGAAAACTTTTAGTAAAGAAAAGACATCTGTAATATAATGCATAAAGGGAATCAATCACTGTTCTAATTGTTCCATATATATTAACTTACCCAAGATAAATGTACCTAAGTGTTATGTATATGCATATATAAAACATACTATCTTCATCTTTGGTGCATTTACCATTATCATCCCTATTTAAGAGATGAGGAAACTGAGGCACTCAAAAATTTTGCTCTTCTTGGTTCACACACACCCTTAACTCATACCACAAAACAAAACAAAACAAAAAAAAAACCAAGTCATTCAGAAACATTTTGTACAATTTTCAGCAGTTTGGAAACTACTAACATTTTGCGATACTCTGGAGGGTGTCTAGTAAAGATGGCCCCATAACCTGTGGCAGGCAATCCAGTGTCCCTGAAAATAAGATAATAAGTTTTAGAAAACATGTCACACTCCCACTTACAAACTTTCAAAGCCACACAAAACAAATTGGGGGTTGACTTATGACGATTCTTTTTTTAAAAAGAGCTTCATGTTTGAAACTTTTATGCACCTTGTAAAATAAAAATTTCCAACAAGTACATGGAAAGTCTAACATTGTGTCATAGTTTTATTATATTTTCCAATGATTACAAGATAAAACAATGACTAGATCATGTATTTCCATGGAAAGGCACTTTGCCAAGTTGCAGGACCACAGAAATGACTAAGAAACTGTTTCTACCCTCAAGGAACTTTATCTCTGGGGAAACACACACACACAAACAATGAGAATGCCATTTCAACTGCTACAGAGAACATAAAATACTCAGCATGAGCATAAAGCAAGGGATCTTGAGATGAAAGTGCCTGATGTATTTCTGTAATGTGTATCCAGACTTCTTATGCAACCCTATCCTGTATGTACATGCTCTGTAAGCAAAGTATTAAGAATACCTTTCAATAATCCCAGAGCTCAATGTATCCTCATTCAATAAGGCCTTGCTCTTTATTTCAGCCAACTCGGTGTTAAAACAAATATTTTCCATCTGTTCATGGGTTTCTGATATCCAAATCTGGAAAAATAAAAGCTACATATAGGAAAAATAAACTAATACCATTTTTAAAAAAAGGTCAGTTACTAAAATATATTTCAGTCCATTCTGATTTGTACTGCTTGAATTCAACTGGCATTAAAAAATAAGTAATGGATCTCCTAACAGTCAACTATTTTGTCATAAATATCTAAAAATGGCCATTCCTTTACTATGTGTAATTGGGCAAATAAAATGCAAATGAGTTGTTTCTATGAAATGAAAAGTGCCTCATCTCAAACAAAAACTAATTCTACCTGCTTTTCACTTCCTTCTTTATGTTCCTGAGCATGGTGTATTTTAATTTCCCTAAGAAGAAAAATGTTTTGTAAGTCACAAAAGACTTCAGATCCCATTGTTGTCACCACTACTGTTGTCATCACCACCATCTTCTTTGTGATGAGTATCCATTCTCTATCATAGAGAAGATTTTAACGAATTATCAAGCTATTATTACTATGCAGACATCTGCAAATTGTAAGATGTACGCAGATCAATCACAGAACTGCCACCAGTGGGAACCTAGGGGATCTTAGGAACACAAATGGATACTACAGAGTCAATATTTTCTCCTTAGAAACTCTCGAAATCATAATGTGAAAGGTCACAGCCCTTTGAAGCAAAGCAGAAAGTTATAACCTCAAATGTGGTGGAGCCAAAAAATCAAACTGAAGCCTTCTGACTCCACAGCCAGCTCTGAATGTCTATATGTCACCTGTATCAGAAGCTAATATTATCCCCCAAGTTTATATTTTCCTTCTTCTTCAGTACCCAAACATATTTTCTGATTCATATTGATGTTGAAGTGAGGGATTCAGTATACACTCACTCTCTCCAAATGACTCTTCCAAATTCCAAATACTCACAGCCAAGTCTCTTTAATTTCAACTCTTTTGTTGTTGTTGTTTAAATTTTCAAGGTAGAAAAGAGACCAAGAGATCCAAAACCAGTTATTGTCCAAATGCCTTGCATGTTCTACATTAGTGATTTGACTCTTCTGTTGGGACTGAAGACGTTGGCATCTGTTGTCTTAAATCCTCAGTCATAACTAAGAAAGAGTCCTATTTCACCCTATTCAACAGCCCTACCACCAAGTGTATCTTTTTACAACATCACAAATAATAATGACCACTGATTATGTAACTATTCATTTTATTTAATAATAAACAAAATCTAATTTCTCTAAAAGTTAAATAACTATTATCGCTGTTGTTTTTATTTACAGTCAACACCAAGACTTTGTCAAAAGTTTTTCTCTCTCTCTTAAAATTATCAAAAGGGCTATTCTTATTTCTCAGCAGTAATTTTTGTCCTTGAAAATCCTGACTTGGCTTGTGTCTAGGTTAACTCTATAGTCCCATATACAGATTCTACATGTCCCCAAGAGGACTATACCAACATAACCACCGTTATTTTGAATAACTGAGGCTCAAAGGGTATAATCAGAAAAACACTTTTTTTTGGTCTTCACTGCCTGTTCAAGGCAGCTTTTATGGGCTGGTTCTTTCCCTATCCTTAGAAGAAACAAATCTTGGAAATACATAAGTCTCATATTTTTCTGATCACTCTCGGTTAACAAAATTATTTCCTGTCATAAAAATAAGTCTCTGTTTATTAATCAATATTAAGAGAATCACCCAAGAGGGGCTTTTAATTGTCTGGGGGATGGAAGGTGCTGAGCAAGTGAGCTGAGCCCACCTAGCCCATCCCCACCCTCTACTTTCCAGGAGAGCTTTTCCACAGGGAGCAAACTTGAGATGCAGAAGGGGAAAAGTTTTAATCTTAGGTGAAATTCATCATTTCAATGAAATATTTTAATTACTTAAATGTGATCAATGGATATTTTACTATCTAGGCGTGACCCTAAAAATTAGGGAATCTGCACAAGATTGTATCCAGGGGTAGAAAAAGGACCAACTGTACGAAGTATGTATCTCAGTTATCTGGTTCTGTAATAACAGAAATATCACAAGTGGGTAACTTTAAGGAACATAAATTTAGTTCCTCACAGTTCAGGAGGCTAGAAGTCTGAATTCAGGGCATTCTTTCGTGTCTGTGTCATCTATTAGCAGCTCTCAGCAACAATCCTTGACATCCTTGGATGTGTACAAGTATTATCTGTCTTTCTTCCCACTGTGTCTATTCTGTCTATTCTGGCCTTCTTACAGCTCAGAAGTGATTAATTCTAGGATCAACTTCATACTGGTAATGGCATCATTAACATAACAAAAGAAACTCTCTCTTTCCACACAGGGTCATATTTATAGGTACAAGGGTTAGGATTTCAACTCATACTTTGGGGAGACACAATTCAAGGCATAACAGGGGAGAAAATAGGCAGTGGATTTTTAGTCTGTTTTGGTTTTTGTGTATGACTGCATCTTTTTAGTATCAATTTTCAATGTAACAGTTACAACTATGTGAGCAAATTAACATGCATGAAAAATAAAAATCTAGTTTCTCTAAAAGTTAAATCAGGGCATGATTATTGAAGTGAAGAAGGGTCTGCAAAGGAATAAAAGGATCACAGTGGTGCATCCCTGACAGGAGACATTCTCTAGACTAAATACCTGCAAAACTGCATCCCCAGACAAGAAAAGCACACTCACTAGGTCAGAATGTATAAAGAATTTCTGAAAGAGGAACAGCAGATGTGACTGTGCTGATATGCAAAATCATAAAGTGAATCCAGGTGAGGATGCTGAAAAAGGTGGAGCAACTACAAGTTCAAAGACACAAAAAGGAAGAGGAGGCCCAGGCTCACTAGCTCCAAACATCTTTCTTTCTCCTAACCTAACTAACATTGGCATTGAAAATGATTCCACTTACCAACATCTGATCCATATGCCTCTTTCAAGTACTTAGACCCAGACACAAGAAAAACATCTGTCAGATTGGAGTAGTCAAAATACCATTCTATTATGTTGCTGGTAAATGATGTCGAGTCGGTTCTGACTTATAGTGATCCTGGATAGTGTTTCCAAGAGCAGCTGGTGAATTTGAATCACTGAATTAGTGGTTGGTAGTCCAGTGCTTATCCTACAGCACCACACCAGGAA